GATTTGCAGTTAATTGAGATATGTGGTTTCATAGCCCTGTGTGTAAAGTTTGATAGCAAGTAGCACTGCATATGTTGTTAAAATTATGTGAGTTTATGAGTTTAGAAAATGGTTAAGAACATTGGAGTTGGTTGCATTCTCTTAGTGGGTGGAGTGATTTGTTCTAATGGTGTTTGTGGATGGGGTCACGGGTCCGCATCTTGTACAGCAATTGGCCACTGAGAGGAATGTATGCAGTGTGTTATTTGTTGGAACTGTCCTTCTGATGTGATTTGAAACTGTCTCATTGCTATCTGTTTGTCGATAAAACTTTGAAAAAAATAAAAAATAAAATAAAAATAAAAAAAAGAACATTGGAGTTGTTCTTAAAAGTGTGGGAAGCATTTATAAGAGTGTGGGAAGGGTTTATAGAACCTTGAAATATACATAAAAATTAAATATAAGGTCGCTACTTTCGCTTATCGAGGGGGCGCTGGAATGTAACCTCCACGATAAGTGAGGGACCACTGTACCTATAATTATCTGTTCAGATTCCTGCTTTTAGTTCTTTGGGGTTTATACTTAGAAGTACAGTTGCTAGATCATATGGCATTCTGTTCAATATTTTGAGGAACTGCCATATTGTTTTCTACAGGGAGTGCACCATTTTGCATTCCCATCAGCAATACCTGCGGTCCAGTTTTTCCATATCCTTGTTAACACTATATATATATTTTTTCCATAGTAGCCATCTTAATGGGTGTTAAGTGTTCTCTTTACATTTCTCTAATGCTCAGTTATTTTCCTTCTCCCTTCCATCCCTCCTCCTTTTGTACCCTTTTCATTTTCTTTCTGCGAGATATTATCTGGCTTTGTTGCCCAGATTCTGATTTTTTGATGTAGACACTCATATCTTCCCTATTAGAACTGTCTTCAATGTATATGTCTCAGAAGTTCTGGTACATTGTGTTTCCATTTTCATTTTATTTAATTTAATGTATTTATTTATTTTTTGTATTTTAGGGAAGGGTCTACAAGGTGTTCAGGGTCTCACTACTAGATCAGACTCATAGTGATCCACCTGTTTACAGCCTCCCAAGAGCTGGGGTTACAGGCATGCACCACATGCCCAGCCTCAGTTGCTGTCTCAGCACACCCTGGGGGCAGGGCTGGCCCAGCAGGCCTGGGAATTGAACCCCTGGCCCCTGTGTCTGCTTGTAGGTGCTTTAATCCACTGAGCTATTTGGCTGGCCATTCCATTTTCATTTAATTTTAGAAACTTTTAAATTGTCCTCCTGATTTTTAAATGACCCATTGATCACTCAAAAGTGAGTGGTTTGTGTTTGTATAGTTTCTCTTGCTGTTTCATCACATTATGATTTGGTAAGATGCAAGAAATAATTTCACTATTTTTGTACTTCTTAGGACTTCCTAACTGCCCTAAAATATGATCTATTTTGGGAAAAGTTCCTTGAGATGCTAAAAAACATGTGTATTGTATCGTTGGTTGGATTGAATGTTTTATCGTTATCTGTTAAGACCATTGATCTATGGTGTGGTTTAATTCTGATGTTTCCTTTTTTATTTATTTTATCTGGATGACTTATCTGTTGGTGAGAGACTTATCTATCTTGAAATAACCCACTGGTATTATATTGGGACTGATCTATCCCATTATGTCAAGTAGCATTTATTTTATGAAATAGGGTACCCTAATGTTCGGTGCATATGTTTTTACAATTATTATATCTTCTCAATGTAGTGTTACTTTTATGCACAGGTAGTAAAAGTAATTACTCTGTCTCTTTAGTTTTGAAATCCACTCATTAATCTCTGTCCTTAATCTTGAAGTCCCCTTTGTCAAGTATGAGCAGGGCTACTCCTGCTGGTTACCAGATTCCATTTGCAGGGAATATTGTTTTCCATCCTTTAGCTTTCAGCTTACATATATCTTTGCTACTGAGATGTGTTTTCTGTAAGCAGAAGAGTTGGATCTGATTTTTAATTCAATCTGTCAGTCTTTATCTTTTAATTGGAGAATTAAGAACATTTACAGTCTATTACTGAAAGGTGTACTAAGTTCTGTCACTTTGTTTTGTTTCTATTATTTGATTTTCCTAATCCCCAGTGGTTTATCTACTCTTCCACTTCTGCATGTAGCATTCCTTTAAGTATATCATGCAGTACTTTCTTAGTGATCATGAATTTCCTTATTTTATGCTTACCTTGGGAGCTCTTTATTTCTCTTTCATTTCTGAAGGATAGGTTTGATGGACGCCAATACATGTGAATTGGCACGTGTCTTGCATTTAGTATTCCTTTTCCTTACTCTTTACATTTTAACTATAATGTGATATAGGTAGGCCATACCTTTTGGGGGTACTGAATTCTTATTTATTTATTTATTTTTATTTTTAAAGAGAATACAAAATAATAAAAAGCATTAGAAATGATACAGAATTTTGCTAAACAAAATAATAGGAATTCAACAATGGTTGTTATACTGCCTAATTTTTCAAATTAGTTGCTTAGTTTACCGAATATAAGCATGCAAAATTAGTTTAAAAATCATAAGAAATTAAAAAGAATAAAAAAATTTTAAGCATTAACTGTTCCTTTAAATATACCAGCAGAAATCAGCAGTGTAATTTTGCAAGCTATCCTGTAAAGTTATTTTTTCCCTTCCTTCTTTCTTCCTGTACTGAATTCTTCCTATGTCTGGATGTTTGTATCTTGCCTAGGACATGGGAAGTTTTCTGTTAGTCTTTCTTTGTGTAGTTTTTCTATGCTATTAGTCTGAATCTTATCACTCTTGTCCAGACCAAAAGCTCATAAATTGGATATTTTAATTGCTTTAGTTCTTAGATATTTTATTTATAATTTGTTTTTTTTCTTTAATATGTTTAAGCATAATTCATGAGCTTCATGTTCAGACCTTGAAATTCTCTCTTTTGCTTGGTTGAGTCCTTTGCTAAGAATTTTCACTGAAGTTTTATTTGACTTACTGCGCTTTTCCCCTCATGGTTTCTGTTTGGTTCTTCATCAGAATCTACTGTTTTTTGAACCATTTCTTCATATCCTGCTTTGTCTTCCTTAGTCTATTTGTTTTCTCTTTGAAGTCATCAATCATTAGAGAAATCAGCATTTTGAAGTTTTTGTCCAGCATTTCATCCACTCCAGTATCTGTATTCAGTTACTAATGAGTTATGAACATGAGGAGGAGCCATGTGGCCTTGTCTTTTCATACTTATTTAAGATTTGAGCATCTGAGTGGGCATAGCTCTCTATTTATGTTAAGGGCCTAGTGTCCAGACTCCTTCTGAATGCCTGGTCTCCAGCATTCCCAGAGAGGAGAAAACAAACTGCAGTAATGATGATGACACTCAGAAAATCTAGATATTGATGTATAGTAGATACCAATTAAAAGGAACAACTATACCACTGTTTATAAAAGAAAAGAAAGCAGTAATAATATAGAGTTAACTAAAAAGTTAAAATTCAATAAAAGTTAAAAGCAATCATAATTAAAAAAGTAAGAAAATGTTGAGGGCAAGGAGAGGGAAAAATGAAAGTGGAATTTTTAAAAGAATTTTTTTAAATAGATAAAATATGGTAAAAGTAATAGGAGAAAACAAACAGATAAAAAGATAAAAAATAATGATAAAAGAAAAATGAAAAAGACAAAAAATAAGCCATGCCAAGGTATTCAGATGGGTAAAGTTTCCTTCCAGGATCTGTAGTATTGGAATTGACCAGATATGGAGGAAGGATAGTGAGTTATAACTGGGGCCTGTTAGGTTTCCAAACCCAATAACATGCTATTATTTTATGAACGCTGAGTCCTGACCTGCCTTTCCTGCTGGGTGGGGTAATTGTTTGCCTCAAGGTTGTGTTCACTTCAGAGGCTTCTAGTGTTTGTGTCCTTCTGCACACCCCAGCCACTGTTTTTCCCAAGTAGCTTTGTAGCCTGTGGGTGGGTAAATTGCCCCCACTTGCTCCGGCAGTACACCAGTAAACCCAGAGATGTGGCAGACATCTGAACAGGGGCATAGCCCTAAGTCCTGGGCAGATGGAGAAAGCAAACAGACCACTGAGTTCTGTGCTCAAATTGGACAGCTAGGAAAGCCAGACAGTCAGCTGGACTTGATCCTGGCAGTTTCAGACCCAGTCCTCTCAGAAAAACTCACACTGCAGAGGACAGGACCAGTGTGTCCTCCCCAGCCTGAGCTCCTGGCTGCTTGAACTTCTCTAGAGGTCTGTGCCTAGCACTACTCTTGCCCCTGACTGTCTTTCATGCCTATCTCACACCCAGTCAGGCTGTTCCAGGGAAGTGCTTTTGTTCTGTGACTTCACTAGAATAGCTGAGACTAGATCAGTAAGGCTTATCTCAAAATGCTTCCTGGTTATTCCTCTCTGATATATAGTGAGTGTTGCAGTGATCTTCTCCCAAACTATCCTACTATCTAAAACTAGTTACTTTCACCCACACAGGGTTTAAGCTTATACTAATTGTGGGTTTTTCCTGAGATTAGAACTGCTGGACTGTTTATTACTGAGACTGCTGGCCCTCTCTGAGAACCTGTTGTGTTCACAAAGTCAGGTTTCCCTCATACCAGGGAACCAGGGATGGTGCTGTAGACTGCTTCATTCTTTTTTCTCTGATGCCTTTCTCTTTCTTTGATTTTCAGCTTTCTTATCACCTATTCATTTCTAGAATGCTTATCTTTCTCCTCATTGAGTATCTGTTTTCTAGCTGTACTAATTCCAGGTCATGGAGAAGCTATGAAATATTGCTTACTCCTAACCTGCCAGCTCTCTACCACCAATTCCTATTATTGTTGCATTTTGGTTTAATTTATGAAACCTGACATATATCAAATTTTATGAAGATTCTGTGGGATGTCTACCAATCTATAATATTTGTTATAAAATGTAAAATATAATTATAAAGTTTAAAATTGTTTCTCAAAATGTATAACTTGATTCTAAAAGGTAATTAGCTCTCATCTCCATATACTTAGGTGGCCAAGACATTTTTATGACAGAAGAACAGAAGAAATACTATAATGCAATGAAAAAATTAGGAACCAAGAAACCTCTAAAACCCATTCCAAGGCCTCTGGTGAGAACAATTCGATGATTCTAAATATATGAATCTGATAAGGAATTATGAAGAATTCAGATTTCTGCAAAACCATCCAAATTATAGGATGGCTTTGCAGACATTTTTAAATTATCTAAAACTCAAGAACCCAGATACACTTGAGTCCTTCAGAAAAGTAGGTTTTCATACTTACTAGTACCAGGCTAGAAAACAATTTTAATTTTTGGTGAACACATTGTAGTTCTTTAGTATGTAAACATTGCCATAATGCAAACTTAGCAGGTGGTTTGAACTTAACTAGTTTAAAATTTATTTATAGGGGCAGGCAAGATAGCTCAGTGGACTAAAGGACCTGCTTAGGCAAGCTTAGGCAAGAGCAGGGACCGTGGTTTGAACCCTGGCACCACATGCTGTGCTAGCCCTGCCCCAGGGCAGGCTGAGCTGGCCACAGAGTTCTGACAGGCGTAGTAGTGCATGCCTGTAAGCCCAGCACTGGGGAGGCTGAAAACAGGAGGATCACTATGAGTTTGAGGTGCATAGTGAGCCATTCAGTACTTGCTGGCCCTATGGTTTCTTTCTTTTTTTTTTTTTAATTTTCGGTACTGGGGATTGAACTCAGGACCTTGTGCTTGCCAGGCAAGCATTTATTCTACTGAGCTATCGCTCTAGTCGTTGGCCCTATGGTTTCTGGTGCTGCTCCTGCACCACTGTCCTCTGCTATTGTGGCAGAAAATGGCCATAGACAAAGAACAAATCAGTATGATTGTGGTTTAGCACAATTGCATTTATGGACATAGAAGTTTGAATTTCATGTAACTTTCAGGTATCACACAGTTTATTTTTCTTTTGACTTTTTTCCCTGAAAATTTAAACAGGCAGAAGCCATTCTGAGGTCATGCAAAGAATAAAACAAAACCAGAGATTTGGCTGGATTTCACTTGTGGGTCCCAATTTTCTGACCCCTGCACTCTATGAATCCAGCTTTATCAAGTGCTATGGCTCCAGAAAGAAGTACCCAGTTCTGCTGTGTGCTTCAGATTTAACTGGGAGAGGAATGCCATACTGTAACTGTATACACATTTGAGAGCACTGGAATTATAAAGTGAAGACTGAACATCCCTAGACCAGAAACCCAAAACCTGAAATTGTTGATTAATGACATGATCCCATAGTGGCAAATTCCACACCTGACCTTACTAGTAAATAACAAAGTGTGCATGCACTGAGAATATTGTATACAATTACCTTCAGGCTGAATCTGAGTTAAGACTTCAAGTCAACTGTTAGTCTTTTACTCATAACTTTACCTCCTCTCATTGTATTAATCTCTAAAATCTAAATATTACATTTTGACCTTTGGAACAAAGAAGTAGAAATGGCAATAACACAGAGAGAAAAATCCAGCTGATTTAAAATCTAGTCTGAGTGATGATGCATTTTTCTCTAGAAGTAGAAGAAGGAACCTGGAATCATTTCTGATTTTTCCTGATGCATTCTCACTAGATGGCTTCATTATGTGGATTAAAATTCACATTGAGTTTTGGAGTCACAGTACATTCTAAAGTGATATGGAATGCTTTCCAATCATGTAAATTTTTAGATGATTTATGCTCCTAATCTCCCTTTGTCTAAATGTTGGAATTAACCAAGGCCAACACTCACCCTTCTGTACATTTCTTCTTTCCTTTGTTCTACTTTCTTGGAGTATCATTTTTCCATCTCTTCGCTGACTTCTTAGATACATTCTCTCATAGGAAATGCACTTTACTTTCTGGCATTTTCTCCTGGTTCTTTGATAAAAGCCTAGAGCTTCCAGAATATAGGGTAAAAAAAATGCTAATGTAAATGTAGTATCCCTGGTGTGTTTATGCATGGCTTTTGAGTCATGTCAGTGCTGAACCCACCTACATCTTCATTCCAGTTTCTGTACCACATACATATTTTTACCTACTCATGACCCTAAGATGTTCTTTTGTCACTTCTAACTCAGTGTTTTCAGGACAGATCTCTTATCTCATTCCCCAAAAACTCTTGATCCTCTGTTCTTTACGTGGTTAAATGGATCCACCTGCCAGAAACAATAGCCCCAGCCTTATCTTTCCATAGCTTCCTACGTTCAACACTGACTACTCTTGCTTCTATCCATGTTAGCTCTTTAACCTACACACTATATCTTTACTGTTACCACTTCAAACCAATTTTTTTGCAGATTATCTTAATAGATCCCAGGGAAGTCTAAAGATGTTTTCCTAGGGTTCATAAATTCTCTCAATAGAATAGTGAGTACATACATTGATTAGATAATAATAGAAAATAATCCCATACATACATGTATTGTAAAAAAAAAACCCATTGTATAATCATAAATGACATAAAATTTCAGTGTCTGAGTTTATGTTTAAGAACAGTTTCTACTCTGTCAAGAACAAAAGAAGTGCCAGACAGCAGTATTGTTAAAGAAACTAGTGGAATAATTGGATCATTTCACTTCACATGATTGATTAGTCCTGCAAACTAGAGTCAGAACCTGGACCAGAACAACCTCCACATTGCAGGCAACTTGGCTATCTACACTGAAGCCAATATGCAAGTTCACTCTCAGTAATAATATGATAAAATCCATTTTATTCTTTCCATTTTTTATTAATCACTGGATTAAAATCCTATCTATCTAGACTATTCTAACAAGAATTAATAAATTGAATGCAGGGCTTTGGTTAAGTATACTTCTGAACTATCAGACTTGGACTTGTTCATTCTATTTTTTTTTTTAATTCCTTATATTTATTAATTTTATTGAGAAACAAATAGCAATGAGACAGTTTCAAAACTGATTAGTAGGACAGTTTCAATAA